CTGTGCATTGTGCTGCTGCAATTTCCAATCGAAACCATTACTTCTATATCTATCAGCAAAATAATTCTCAAGAAAACAGACGTCTGTTTACTATTGCTATTTATCAGACGTCTGTTTACCAAGTCACCTGTAGAACGAGAAGATGGAAAACCGTATTGATTGTCTAACACCTTTGTAAAAAGGTTTAGTCTAACGCAAAAGGCTTAGTTAGGTCACAAAATTTCGTATTTCGTATCAAAAATTAAACTCTTGTGGCTTCTGGAGAATCTTTAACAATATCCATACCAATGGTAAATCTGTTGTTACACCTCTTTTGTATGGTTCAGATTTTGTCATCTCACCTAAAGACAAAGCTGAATTGTTTGAACTTTTCATTAATATCATCTCTTGATTCCATTAGTTGCGTTCTACCTGATATGGCCAACAAACAGGTTGATCCATTATTTGACATTCGTATCACCTCAGCCTCTGCATATAAAGTGATTTCCTGCTTAGATTCTTCTACAGCCTTTGGTTAGGAAAGCATACCTTTTATAGTCTTGTAGTAGTGTTCTCAAGAGTTGTCATCTATACTTTCATAACTATTTAACAAGTGTCTATATGACTCTTGTTTCAAGCCTGCTGGAAAGCGGCATCTGTTATCCCTATTTTCAAAAACTCTGGAGAGCGATCTGACTTGTCTAACTACCATCCCATTTGTTATTCTACAGCTGATTTGCCAACAGTAACCGATAGATTTTATCGTACATTAGATAAATGCAGAGAGGATAAGGCTATCTATCTTGACATTTGTAAAGCTTTGGATAGAGTTTGGAATGCTGGCTTTCTCCATAAACTTTCTTCTTATGGTGTATGAGGTAACATCTTTAAGATTATTAAATCCTTTCTTACAAATCGTAGTATAAAAGTTGTCCTCGATAGACAGCAATCTTCTTCATATCCTGTAACTTCAGGGGTTCCTTAAGATTCTATCCTTGTCCCTATACTCTTTTTAAATTTTAATAATTTATTTCTGTAAACAGTATGACATAGCATTTCCTGTTAAAAAAATAATTATAAAATCCAAGTCTCTTTTAAACCCCTGAATGACCAAGGGATTGATAAAATCATCAAAGAAAAAAAAAAACTTTATGATAAATATTTAAGACATAAAACATATAAAAATTAAATAAACTAAAAAAGCTATAAAAACTTATTGAAAAAAAAAAAACCTTCTAAAAAAATTTATTATGCAAAGTTTTTGTAAAATACCATTAATTAAACAAATAATTAGTAAAAATAAATGTGAAAAAATAATCCCCAACAAAAGCTTTAATTCGCGATGTTAGAATTATTTTGATCTATCTCCATGTTTTTCCGAATTGAAAAAGAATAATTAGTTAACCAGCACCTCTGGTTAGTCCATTAAAAATATTACATTTTAGTAAGAAGCCCAATAAACAACATAACATATAAAACATATATATATTTACAATAAAATTAATTATTTTAAAATACTCTAATAAAATGCAATACTTACATCAGGCATATCGTAGAACAGATTTTGAAGGACATTGGCTTTATCATTTGAAAACTAATGTTTTCTGACTTGAATCAGAGTGCGCGAATTGTTGGGGAAATGATTTAAGATAAAAAAAAAAATAGCTGAAGAACTCATCTCATTTTTGCTTGAAATAGGACCGAACTTGGCGAGTAAAACTCCGTCAAGTACCACAATGTTTGAATCTTATATTAAATCATGTTATTCTATTGTGGAAAAATCGAATTTAAATCTAAGCGGGATAAGGAATGCTTTTAACAGTCTTAAAATTAATAAAAGTGCGGGCATTGACAAAATTAGTGTGAATGTTGTTAAGTCATTATTTAGTATCATTGAACCGTCATTATTTCATATTTTTGATCTTTCATTAAAATTAGGTGTGTCGAAAAAACTTAAAGTTGCCATAATCACTCCAATTTTTAAATCTGGTGATGAAACTAATATTAGCAACTACAGGCCTATTTCCATTTTATCCTGCTTCTTAAAATTATTGGAACGAATTATGTACAACAGACTTTACAACTATTTGATGTTAAACAGTTTGCTGTAAAGTAAACAATTTGGATTTCAAAAAGATAATTCAACTAACCATGCTGTAATCGAACTAATTAACCATGTATCGGATGCATTTAATAATGACTATTTTACTCAAGAAGTTTTTATTGATCTGTCGAAAGCCTTTGACACTATTAACCATAAGATACTTATAAAAAAACTAGAAATCTATGGAGTGAAAAAAAAAATTTCTTTGGTTTGAAGATTAGTGTATGTAGTTATAGTCTATTTTCAGAACCAGATATAACTGAAAAGCACAATCGTTTGCTATTAACAAATCATAATTGTTTTGCTACCAACATATACATTTATCATAATGCATTTATTGCTACCAACAAATAAATTTATCATAATGCGTTTGTTGATAGCAACAAGATTATGATAACATTATGACAAATGAAATTTAACAATTTCATTTGTCATAATGTGCTACTGATAAATTGTATCATAATACACACTAAAATATATATGTTATAGAATGTATATTGAGATAATCTATTTCTAATACAATTTTTTTAATAATTCTTTAGTACTCGGTAATCGGCCGAATACCAAATATTTGCCAAAGTATTTGTAGCATCTTTTGTTTGAATTGATGAAAAATGAAAACCACCTATTTTATAATTATGAAATTATTTTATTATTAAATTAAATGTAAAATAAATAAAACAAAAGTTGACAAATTCAATTAGTTGGAAATTAGTTAACGACTAAATGACAACTAAATAACGACAAGTAATGATGCAAAGTAAATAACGACAAGATAGATTATAGACACATCTTATATTTATGACGTTTTTATATCTTTTATGTTTGTTATTTTTATATGTTTCATTTTTGCACTAATGCTTTAATTGTTATTGTTCCGAATTTTTAAATATTTTAATATTCATTTAAATAAATTTAAATATATTAAAAATAATAGACATAATGATAAAAACCGAATAAGAAGTTTTAAGGCGTTATAAGTTTTAATTATTTAAAGTTTTCGCCAAACACCAGTTCAAACACCAGTTCAAAGTTTTACAAGAACGCATGTCCCAAAACAGATTACATTTTGTATATTTACATGCTAGTATATGGTTTATGAAAACTAATCCAACTGATAGCTATGAGTTTTATACTTACAGATAATTGCAAATGTGGTTTGATATTATATGTAGTAAATAAGTGATTCTGCTTGTTAAATGAGCGCATACATTTAGAATAACAAATAACTGTTTTTAATTTTGTATTGCTGGATCAACTAGCTTCGATTGTAAATTCTACTGATAAAGCCCGGTTTAGTATTATGTAAAAAATCTTTATCCTTGAAAACACTTTCTTCCATTCTTTCAATTGATTTCAGTTATTATATTTGGTCACTTTTTGCACTTAATTTTACTTTGAAAATCTTGTGTAAAAAATAAATGTTTTAATTATTTCAAGTAGTAATATTAACTTCTGGTTCGATTTCGAAGTAGAAATGTTCTTGAATTACGCTTGTACTTTTTTCATCTACCTTTAAACTAGTAGGTTGCTGGCAAACAAAGTTTGATTGGATAGTTTGAACAGACAACGTTAAAGTGCTGTACTCGCCTTGACAAGCTTCGGTCAATACTAAATTTGTGTAGACACCCTCGTTTTCATTTTTTTTCTCGTTTTCATTCTTTTTATCAATCTAAAGTGTAAAAGTTAAACAGTACGCTAAAAAACTAAAATTAATCATTTTAATTTAACATGGTCTAATTAAAGTGCATGACTTTTTGTTTTGCATTTTCGTCAAAACAATAGAAATTTATTATAAAGAATAACTGCGCCATAAAAAAACAAAAAAGAAACAAAAAAAAGAAAAAAAAAAATCTAAAAACACTTTTTAAAAATACTTTATATTCAGCATTTTATTTGAAATTAGTTTTGTTCAAGATTTTTTCTTGATTGTTATAATGTTTAACCTACATCTATTCAATTTAACCTATTAAAGAAATCTTTTGTTCTTAATTTATTTCTTACATTAAATTTTTCTTGATGTATTGCCGTTTTTTAAAACAATGACATTCAGATATTACATTATTACAAAGATAGTTACAAAACTCGGTTTGTAGCTGTCTTTTTTTTTTGTTATTTTTCAATCATCTACTAAAAATATATTATTGCTACAAAAGTTGAGTAAATATTGGTTTTTATAACTTTTTTTTGGCTCTATGGTTTAAATATTTTTCCCGAAAATATTTTACAATTGATATATTAGTTATCATTCAGTTTTATTTATTTCAAACTGATTAATCCCTTAGTCTTAACTGAGAATCACCACATTAGGCAAACATTCTGAGAAAAACTTAAACATTCTGAGAAAAACTTAAACATTCTGAGAAAAACTTAAACATTCTGAGGAAAACTCAAACATTCTGAGAAAAACTTGATCTGTTAAGCAAAAATAGACCACGTATTATTGCAAACATGTTAGTTTAGTGCTGCTATTGTATAAAATACTCAAGAGCAACAAGAACGCTTAAGTGCATAGCACCAAGTTTGATGCGACTTGCTTAGCCGCGTATATTTTTTAGAAAATAAATTATGTTTTTGCCTAAGCCGTTTAGTATTATAATTATAGTTCAGTATAGCATTATAATTATTACATTTTTATTCAGAGCCGCTTACAAAACTGATTTTATTTTTCTCTAAAAAATGCAAAATATTAAGTAGTAAACTTTAAATAGGTCATGATATTATTTTACAAACTTGAAAAAGCTGTTACTTTGTTTTTTAGATCTTCATGATTTTGAACCACTGCAACCGCCTCAACAATATTTAAATCCTGAAAAAAAAAAGGTTTTAATATTTTTGAACCTTAAGCATTTCAGCTTTTGGCTTCCTACAAAAGTCGTATAAATATTGCCTAGGAATGTTGCAACTGGGGCTGCCATTTCGAACTTTTTTTTCGAAGTTCGAATTTAAAGAAGTTCGAACTATTTGGGAAAAAAGTTTGAACATTTTCGAACTTTTTTCAATGTACTAAAACACGCAAAATAAAAGAGTACAAGCTAAAAACAAAGCTATTTATTTATCGACTAATAAAACTGTTTTTTATAAAAACAAAACTGTTTATTATTGAGACCCGCTTCTCATTTTTATTACATTTAACTTGAAAAAATTGCTTATTTGAGAATAAACAATATCACAGTATTTTTTAGCGTTTGTTTTAAAAAAGTTAATGGATTTAATGTATTATCCCTTAATGAGCTCCTTATTTTTGTGGTAAATAATCCTAGGCTAAAGAAAGCCTTTTTACCCTCCACAGATGTAGGAGGAATAGTTTTAAGAGCATTAAAAGACATTTCTAAATTTTTGGGTCTTGATTTGCTGGCTTCAAAAAAAGCCATTTTCTTTTTAATAAGGTTATATTCAAGTTTACCTTTGTCTACTGTCATTTGAAAATCAGATGTTTTAATGAAACATTTAAGTTCTTGAGCTAAAGTCAATTTAATGCTATTATTTTTCATATCATCAGTTATATCACTGTTATTGACTTCTCCATTAGCATCAGAGTCTTCCTCACTATACTGGAATAATCTTTGAATAAGATTGGTAGCAAAATTTGCTATAGTGTTTCTTTTTATTTTATTCCCAAACTGATCATCTTGATTCAAAACATCTTTTGATAAATATTTCATTAGATATATAAACTTTATGTTTCTCCTTTCAACAATTCTTTTTTCAAACTGCTGTTTTACAAGTTGACTAATTGCCGTGCTTCATCCAATTTTTTCCGGATAAATTTAAATATTTAAATCTTCAATTATTTCAGTATCCTACCGGAAAATTAAAATTAGCAATAGTAGTACCAATAAAAACTGTGGTTTATTTACACTAAATATCTCAGTTATTTCTGTCATTTCAAATATTTTGGAGCAAGTAAATTTATATCAAGGAGGTATAATAGACAGGATGGAGAACGAAGTTACTCGATGAGCCATCTACCCTTCATCTTTTAGGAATAACTATTACTTCCGATCTTTCTTGGAAACCATATATCAAATCAATTGCAAAATTTGCACCTACTAAGGTTGCAACTTTTATCGTACTTGCCACTTTCTTACTAAGGATTCTATTCTTTATTTCTATAAATCTCTAATTCGTCCTTGTACGGAATACTGTTACCATTTCTGGGACGGATCTACCAATGATGTTTTTCCTCTTTTATATAAGATGCAAAAATACATTGTAAAAATAATTGGACCTGGTCTTGCAGCCAACCTATAATCATTGTCACGTCGCAACAAAGTTGCTTCTCTTTTATTATTAAGACCCGCTTCACCAGTTCTTTGGAATTCGCTTCTTTCACCTTGTTTTAGTGATTTATATGCTTTGCAATCTTTTAAGTTGTCTGTTAGTCTTTAGCTTGCTCTTAATTTCTGGTTTATTTAATAAACTTTTTTAATGTCTAAAAAAGATTTAAAAAAAAGTATTTTATATCTCTTTATTTAGAATATAGCAATCTTTTTTTAACTCTACAAAAATACTACAACACATAATAGAATCGTGGAGGGTTTCTTACCAAAAAATGTTTTTTAAGATTGTAACAAACCTATAGATAAACGGGGAAGCAAAAGATATGATTCAACCAAGTAGTATAGATGATGTAAATTTTTGATATTTATTCCTAGTATCGAAAAATGATTAAGTTACGTAGGTCATAATTTTTGCTGTGATAACTACTTGATAGATGGAGAAGTCGTTAAATACTTATCCAGTCAACTTTTAAGAGAGTAATCCATTTTGATTTAGCTTACAAATGTTACAAACTACATTTCAAAATTTTCCGTTTTCAAGGCAAAGGCGCCATTTTGACTAGCCGCTGGAATAATTAAACAACAAAGACTGAATTGCGAATTTCAAAGATTTTTGGCTTCATTCTCACTACATACTATTATAAATCCTTGTTTATATAAATTATACAAATAACTATCAAAAATCAAAATTTCTGATATAAAGAATTTGATTACCAAAAGCATTACTCAATCCAAAATGCAGTTTAGACTATAAATAAGATAAATTACTCGTTTAAAGATTCAAAATTTGTACTTAATTATACTTTAACATTGGGAAAAAATATTGATTTGAAATTTGTTGACCTATCTCAAGCTATTAACACTACAGATTAAAAATTCTACTAAAATAAAATATGGAAAAAGTGTTTCAAATGATTGTATGTGCAACAAGAATGCTTAATTAAAATTACTTAAATTAAAAGTCGGTATCCCCAAAAGTTTCATAATATATGTCATAATAATTGCCATTGTATTTTAGACATAATGGATATCATAATAACTGCCATTGTACTTTTGACATAATGGATGTCATAATAATTGCAACTTTTGACATTTTAGAAAATACTTTATAGATTATTCATTTTTAAATACTTTAGATTATTTAAAAAATGACTTAAAAAGTAATTAAAAAAAAGTTATTAATAAATTAATAAGTTGCGTTGTTTTTAGGGCTCGTCAGTTAAAGTTTACGGTATAGTAACTTTACGCTATACTTTACCGTACTTGGTATACTAAAGGTTTGAATACAGTTTAGTATGCTTATTTACTTTTTTTTGTAAATTTTTTTCGACTTACTTAATTTGTAAAATTGTTAGGACAAGTTTAATAGTTTATTACTAAATGATTACTATATTATCTTAATCCATATTTATTATATAACTTATCATGATTAAAGTGTTTTTAATTTTATTTGGCTTTTTTAATGTAGCAAAATAACAATCCATTTTTAAGTTGTTGCTGATTTGGATCCAATAATTCAACTTTTTAATTTAACTAGTGAGAATGTGTGACCAATGATTACTGGTATAATAAAATACACAAACAAATAGGTTAAATAAAAATGAAAACATTTTTTTACGTATACCATTAAAAAATTTTGACAAACTTGTATTACAGTTTTGCCAAATAAAAAAATTGTTTACGGTATACTTTACAGTATACTTTACCGTATACGGTAAACTAAATGTTTAGCATACCGTATACTTGCAATCCCTAGTGATTCTTTTAACATATTAAGTCAACAGAATGACATAATTTCATAACATTTCAGACAGCGTGTGAGTTTATAATTCAAAACTTACGTGTTATGGTAAACTTACCATTTTATAAATTTTAAGTTATATATACGCAATTAATTTTATCCATTACCCCAAAAGATAATAATTGGAACTTTACTAATTTTGAATTCTTTTGTACATCCTTTTGTACAAGATCTTTTTGTACAATAGTCATATAGTAATTTTGATTTCTTTAATTTAATTCTAATTTTGAATTCTTTTGGACATCCTTTTGTACAACATCCTTTTGTACAAGAATCATATAGTAATACAATTTTTACTTGTTAACTGTCATTTGCAAATAAAAAAAAAGTCAACGAGTAGTATAAAATCAGCAGTTATTGGCTGTTCTAAAATGCCAATTTTTTTAAAAACCGACCCCCCACCTTCCCTAAACACTTTTATGGTACGGGACTGAGAAGTATTTTGAGGTTTAATTTGTGATTACAAAATTTTTCCCTGTGTCATGTTTCTTAAACTCCCATTTAGGTTTGCACACCAAAACTTGATGTAACTGATATCACCAAAATTTATCTTTCTAAGTATTGCTTTTACTTATCCAACTTGGTAAAGTTATTATAAATAACAATTTCTTGTTGCCATTCGATTTGATAATTTCATCTTTTTCATCCTTAAATGCATAAGCAAATTCATCAAATTGTACAAACTCGTTTCCATTACATATATCAAGGTTGTCATTATAGACCCCAAAGAGATTTGATGTTATTGTCAGTACCTCTTAGAATGAATACACATAAGAAAACGTCAAGTTTTAGAAGTTATGAACATTTACTCTACTTTTGAAGTTATAAAAGGCCGGTTAAATGAAACATTCCTATCGCCTTAGTCAGAGATATATTTAAAAAGCTTAAAGAAAGTAAAAGAGAAAAAGATTATAATTGCTATATGGCTGATGTAAAATTAGAGTATGAAGCATCCATTCTTTATTTAGAAAAGTGTTTGAAACATTTTGATGAATTTTTGTGCTTTTGTTGGATTTATTTAAATAAAGAAGAAGACAGCTCATTTGATGATTTTTTGGTAAGCCTTTTTTACATAAAAAAAAAACGTCAAGTTTTAGAAGTTATGAACATTTACTCAACTTTTGAAGTTATAAAAGGCCGGTTAAATGAAACATTCCTATCGCCTTAGTCAGAGATATATTTAAAAAGCTTAAAGAAAGTAAAAGAGAAAAAGATTATAATTGCTATATGGCTGATGTAAAATTAGAGTATGAAGCATCCATTCTTTATTTAGAAAAGTGTTTGAAACATTTTGATGAATTTTTGTGCTTTTGTTGGATTTATTTAAATAAAGAAGAAGACAGCTCATTTGATGATTTTTTGGTAAGCCTTTTTTACATAAAAAAAAAACATTCCGTTTAACCAACATTGTCCTCGTACTAAAACAATTTTTAGAATGGAATGTGCAAAAATTGTTTCAAATCATTACTTTTGCTTAATAATTTTTCTAAATGAGAAAAAAATCCCAAAAATCCAAGTAAAGAAGATCATTTAATATAAAAATAAAAAACTTTGATGTTTTGAGGACGACTTTGAAATAGTAAAATAGGCAGACGTAAATATTTTAGATTTTTTATAGTGCTAGAATGAGTCAATTCAATTTTATTGTAAAATGCAGAACATCTTGTAAATTGCAGAACATCTTGATCAACATCTTGAATCTATTTGGGAAAATACTCGATACTTAAAAATTACTGATTGAAGAAAAAAAGTTTTGTTTTTCTGTTATTTTTCTTTAGGAAAATATAAAATCAACTGTTATGATCCAGAAAGGCAGAGAGTATGAGAACTAAGGGGAAGGTATCCAGTGAAGTTTGATACTTTTTGGTATTTTGAGATAATCAACGTCTTTTTGTATTGTGACTTTAAGTATAAAGTAGTTTGCAAGTGGCTCGTACAGAGTTGACAATATCGAGGGGCTAGGGGAACACTGCCTTTCCCCCTTCCCTCCACTTTTTATCTAAAGGAACCTTTTTTATCTAATTTTTTATTGAAGAAATTTCTAGATATAGAGGACTTTTTTTTAGAAATTGACGATTGCGCCCCTCCACTTTATAACCCGTTTTATCGGGGATATACTAACATGAACTTTTTTATTAGAGGTCTTTATTAGATTTTCAATTTATTTAATAATCCTTAAAATTTTTCTAGAAAATCATCTAGAATCTAACAAGTGTTAATGAATGAATGTAAGAAGTGTGAATGAATGAATGTAAGAAGTGTAAATGTCTATAAAATATATTGTTTCGTACACTTTATAAAGTTTAACTTTCCTGCTGTGAAATGACGTTTTTTTTGTGTTTAATTTGAGTGAAATTAAATTTTATTTAGATGATAAGAATTTTTTTAATGTTGGCTTTAACAACTTACAACTCGGTGTATTTAAAGCGATTTTAAAATATTATAGCGTCTGGATGATATTTTGCTGACTACGACAAATTTCCGTTAAATGATCAGGTCTGTGAATTATGAAAGGACGAAAAAAATAAAAATAATAAATATTGCTGTAACATAAAATAAAAATGTTTATTGCATAAAAAACCAGATTCTTTTAAACAATCTTTTTGAAAACACGATTGCTTGTCCAAATTTGAATAAGATTTTAAATAAATACGTTGTTTAGGTAAAATGAACGTTATAGTTTTAATAATATAATCTGTAATGACTTTTTTTTTGCAAAACGAATAAAAGAAAATATAAGTTTTCTCTTACTCTGAATTCTAATATTTTTTGTGAAAAGTGATAGAAATGTTGTGTTTTGACAATTATATTTAATTAATATGTACTAAAACAGATTAGAGCAAGAATCTATAGTAGTAAGAGTCTATAATAACTCCAAATAAAAGAATTCAAATAATTTTTAAATGGCCTTGACAACACCGATAAACTACAAATTTGATTAAATTGTTTCTAGAAATAAGTTTTGAACTATTAACCATTTAAAAACTGTTAAAAAAATGTTTTTAAAAAAGCAGCTGGCATCTGATTACATAACTCAAGTTACGGAAGACTCTTTTAAATATAAAAATACATTATTTTAAAATTAAATAAAAAAATAAAAAAAAAACTAAAAAAAATAAGTAAACTGTTTTTAAGATATGTTTACCTGGGGTTCTTCGTTTCTATAAAAAAAAAGCAATAACAATAATCAACAAAGTCATTTATTAAGGTGCAAAGTAACAAGTTTCAAGTAATAAGTTAAAATAAATGGAAGTAAAATCAGTTTATTAATAAATACAGTTTAGCAATACAGTGTTTACTTCATTACTCTTTTAAAACAGTAGTTATGTTATGCTGCAAAGGATGTTGGAATATGAAAAGAGTGTTGTATAAGATAATTTATATAAGACAATTGAGCAAAAAGGATGGTGGTGGGCGCATTTACTTATTTCTATACTGGTGTCAAAATATGTAACATAAAACATATATTATATATTTATGATAGATATAAACTATGACGTTTTAAGCAAAGAGACAAAAGAAGCAGAACAATGCACAAAAACAAATATTAATACCACCTTTTCTTTGTAAAAACAAAAATGCCAGCTCCAGTAATAATTACCAAAAAGCATACAAATAAAATGACTGATGCAATTCTTTTTGTTGAGAAAAAATGTTCTTTTTTTGTTTTGAAAAACAAAAACGCATTTTCCATAGACTTATTATCATTGTTTACAGCCACGTTTTTTATAAACGGATAAATGAATGGATAGTATGCTAAAAGTAATGCATTTTTAAAATTTACTTTATTAATATAAATTTAATTAGTTACATCTCTTTTTATCACACAATAATTTTTTTACAAAATAGTACGTACTCAATGCACTTAATGCAAGTCACGGGTACCCTGAAGGTGACCTAAGACTTTATATCAAGTCCCATGAATTTTTTTTTTCTTGATTTTGATTATAGTACATTTTTACATTCTGAAACTATCAAAATTTAAGTTATTTGTTGGCAGGGCCGGCGCTAATAGGTGTCACGTTAGGAAGGGGAGGGGGGTGCCATTACAACTTTTACCGACTAAATAAAAAAAAAAAAAAAAAGTCCTCGTTTTCCAAAAAAAGTCCTCGTTTGCCGACTGCCATGACGACATTTGCCGACTGTCTAACCTATATCAAAAGGGTCGTCATTTGCCGACTAACTAGTCTAAAAGGGTCCAATTTGCCGACTAAGGGTCCAGTTTGCCGATTAAAAATCATTGATGAGGGTGTGTGACCCCCCTTCCCCCCACACACACACACACCCCTCTATGGCGCCGGCCTTGTTTGTTGGTAGCTTTTCGGGAAAACTTAATAAGAAGTTTTATAAATAACGATGTTTTTGTATTAAAACAATATTTTTCCGTCAGCCATTATAGTTATTTACTTTCTGTAATTGCAGAAGCGCGATTGGCTATAATAATATTTATTAGTTTCCGATTGGCTTATAGTTGTTGTTGTTTTAAAAGAGTAACAATATTTATAATCACATTTAAGCAACAACAGCGAACTATTTAATTATTTAAGTAAAAAACTTATATTGTCTTAAATTTATTTCTCAAGAATAGAAAAGAATTTTTTGCTAAAGATTATAACAAGTTTTTAAAATGCTTTCATCTATGCTGCATGAAAAAAAGTAATGATTTAAGATGCATTTAAACCGAATGCAATAAACCAGGTCTAAAGCAAGGAAAAAGATATGAAAATCTTATTAAGTAATTTTTTTGGGAAAACTACTCTGTTTAAAACCCTGATCTGTCTAATTTGTAACGTTCAAATTGCAGAAAATATCTAATGAGATTACAGATTCAAAATTATTTTTAAACAGATTCAAGAAAACAGATTCAAAAAGATTTTTATTCAACGCTCGACCTAAGTACAAAAGGAAGTTTTATAAAAATAATAAGCCAATAAAAACCAATTATGTTTTGCATTATTATTGTAATGATGCAGAATCTGCTTATAAACAATTTTGTGTTTACACTAAAAAAATAACTTCTTATTACTTTTACATCTTAATACTAGAGTTGTTCTTGGTGGGAAATATAAGTGTTTTATTTGTGTTAATGGGCGTAAAAATGAAAAAACATTTTTTCCACCACTGGTTTAATGTGAAACTAAGCCGGTAGGAAATCGGCTAGCGATTAGCTAGCTATAATCGTAACGATATGTATGTATGTATGTATGTATGTATGTATGTATGTATGTATGTATGTATGTATGTATGTATGTATGTATGTATGTATGTATGTATGTATGTATGTATGTATGTATGTATGTATGTATGTATGTATGTATGTATGTATGTATGTATGTATGTATGTATGTATGTATGTGTGTATGTATTTATGTATGTATGTATACAATATTCGTGCAATATTGCGTTCATACTTTTTATGCTGCAAACAATATTGCGTCAATATTGTTTGCTACTACGGTTATAATTTTATATTTTGATTAATTTGAAAGTTGATAATTAAGAATACATCATTATCATCGAACTTAAAGTTGTTTTGTTATTATTTAATGTATTAAAAGAACTATTTGTGATGTAATAAGCAGTAATTTTAATGAGCTTGTTGCATCAGTTTCACAATATAGTTCATTTGAACCTGAGAATGTAATTGATAAGGTAACCTTTAGATAAGGCTGTCTAAAGATTACCTTATCAATTACATTAAAGCCAGAGCTAGAAGCACATTCAAGTGAAAAAAAGAGTGAAATGTTTTGATGAGTATTGATGTAAAGACTTCAATTTTAAATGCGATCCTCAAAGAATCAATCCAATAGGTCAAACAACCAAATATATGTATACAACTATTTGATCCATTTGCAGAGGTCTTATGGTAAGTCAGAGGGGCATTAACCTCTACTTAAAACAAGTCTTTAAATTAATTTTTTCAAAAAGCTACCAAAAAATGATTTAATTTTTGATAGTTTTAGAATGTGCACGTGAACCGTTTTCAAAATCAAAAGAAAAATTTCATCAGTATGATACGGACTTAAGTTACCTTCAGGGTACCCGTGAAGTTATCACTTTTTGTCTTGGTTGTTCTCCGTAATAACAATCGTACAATTTTCCGGTCCGCAACATGTAAACTTGTTTAGTTTTTAACAACAACAACAAAATGCAATATATTTACCAAAAATATAGAGGTTTTACATAAACATGTTAGGTACAAAAAAAAAAAAAATGTTGTATAAGCCATAAAGCATTTATAAAGTAAAAAAAAGTTAAAACATATCAAAGATGTAAAAGATGATGATTATATATATATATATAATATATATATATATATATATATATATATATATATATATATATATATATATATATATATATATATATATATATATATATATATATATATATATATATATATATATATATATATATATATATATATATATATATATATATATATGTATATATATGTATATATATATATATATGATTATATATATATGATTATATATATATATATATATATATATATATATATATATATATATATATATATATATATATATATATATATATATATCTTTATAAAGTATATAAAAGACTTTCGAAAATAAAAAATAAAAATTTTTTAGTGCTTGTGCTTTTTTTGCAGGAGTAAAAAAAAGACTTTTAGAATACTTTTTTAATAATTTTATATATAAATAACTTATTTTTCACTTCTATTTATAACCAATCAATCAATCAATCAATTATATATTCTGAATAAGGATTGTACAATCACGGAAATTTACAAATAGCAAAATAACTATTGTTAGGTAAATACCTATCATGGTGATAATATACAATAAAGATACTAATAATATTTTTAATTTTTACAACATAATAAAAATAGCAATGACAAACTAACAAAATATAACAACAACAATATTGATAACAATACGACTAATAATAGTAAAATATAAAAAACGGTAATGACAATAATAATAACATGTTATTATAACAATAGTAGTAATAATAATAAAGTTAGATATTGCTTTACTAAAATACGTGTAAGCTATTCTTTTTTTTGATTGACACAATGTTTACGTTTTATTCTTTTTTTGATTGACACGTTTAGTTCAATCAAAAAAAGAATATTATAAAAATAGTTACATTATTTGACAGAATAATTACTGTCAAATAATGTAACTATTTTTATAATATTATATTAATTATTAAGATATTGTTTTTATCAAAATACTTAAAAAATGTCATTTAAGCTATTATCTTTTTTTATTGACACCATGTTTAGGTTTAGAAATTTTTTTTTTAAACCATAAGAGTATGAAACTTTATCCAAGCACTCAACTTGATTGGAATCAAGCACTCGACTTGATTCTAATAATAATTCTCAATAGAACTTACAGGTTTTCTTATTATTTTTCCCCATAATATTTGTGAGAAAAAAATTAGAAACTTTAATAGCCTCACTATATTATTATATTCATCTTTCAATCCTTAACCTTTCTCTGTTAGAAGGTAAATAACATAACTACATAGGGTACGTTAAACCCAATGTAGTTAAGTTATTTACATAACTGCATAGGGTTTAACGTACTTGGAACACATATGTCATATGGATTGTTAAACGAGCTCTGTGAGTGTTACCACATTTCGTAGGTCCCCACTCGTAAATTTTCAAAAAATGTAGGACAAAGAAACTTTTTTAATACATATAGGATACATAGTTTTAATATTTTGCTAGTTCTTGAGGAAAATTATAAAAAATATATCATGATTTTTTTTACTTTAAGAATAAACTATTGACATAATTTATTTTTTGGGTATTATAATATCACAGGGAATCTGCTTAACAGGGTAATTTAAAATTTTTTGAAACACAAGGTATTTAAGGCAATAATTAATATCAAATTAAACTAACCAGTATCAATTATATAAAGTAATTCTTACAAAAATTCAGCACAAAAAAAAACATAAAGTTGGAAACATACTTTTCCCGATGACTTTTAGCACCACGCATTTTTGTTTGTTTTCATTATATACCAACTTTATCAATTTACCGCCAATATCGTGATGGTCATTTTTAAGGAGTTCAACCTAAAGATTTGTAACTATCTACAATTATTTGGTAAATACTCAGCTTGAAATACGTAAGTTGTCTGTACAACGTTTTACAAACAAGTAAATTTCAAGCAATAATTTTAGCTAAACAACGTAGCTAAACATATACTACACGTATATATATAGTATATATATATACTACACGTAATTAGGTTGGAATCTTAAAGCATTTTTTTAAGTTAAAGCCAAGTTTTTTTTTTAATTACTACAATGTTATTCTTTGTTTTATACGCTCGAATCTTATTATACACCAGATTAATTTTCATGAGTGTAACAATATGTAGATATTTATATATAGGGGCGATTTTAAAATATAGGTGTGTAAGGGGGGGAGGGAGAGGGTAAAGAGGAAGTTTATCACCCCTTTCCTCCCTAAAGAAAATGACTTTCATCAGTCGGTTAAATTTTAATTTTAAAGAATTTTTTTAACATATATATATATATATATATATATGTATATATATATATATATATATATATATATATATATATATATATATATATATATATATATATATATATATATATATATATATACATACATATATATATATATATATATATATATATATATATATACATATATATATATATATATATATATATATATATATATAAATATATATATATATATATACATATATATATATATATATATATATATATATATATATATACATATATGTATATATATATATATATATATATATATATATATATATATATATATATATATATATATATATATATATATTAAAATATAGGTGTGTAAGGGGGGGAGGGAGAGGGTAAAGAGGAAGTTTATCACCCCTTTCCTCCCTAAAGAAAATGACTTTCATCAGTCGGTTAAATTTTAATTTTAAAGAATTTTTTAACATATATATATATATATATATATATGTATGTATATATATTATATATATATATATATATATATATATATATGTATATATACATATATGTATATATATATATATATATATATATATATATATATATATATATATATATATATATATATATATATATATATATATATATATATATATATAAATATATATATATGTATATATACATATATGTATATATATATATATATATATATATATATATATATATATATATATATATATATATATATATATACATATATATGTGTATATATATATATATATATATATATATATATATATATATATATATATGTGTATATATATATATATATATATATATATATATATATATATATATATATATATATATATATATATATATATATACACACACACACATGAAGATATATATATATTAAATCATAAGTTAGATAACAAAAAGTGCAAATATTAAACAACTTAAACATTACTTGATTTTTTTTAGGATAACTATTCACCAGTTTCCAAGAGTTGTTTGTATACAAATAAACGTTGAATAAGTTTCGCTGAAGGGTAGGAATTATTATACAGAGAAAAAGATCATTAGAATACCAAGAAACCAAAGAAACATCATTATTTGAGCATTCTAAAAGAAGTTGTAAAAGAACTACATAAAATAAAAACAAGAGAATAGGTAATAATTTTAAAATTTAATTTTAAAATAATTTAATAAAACATTTAAGAAATAATAATTTAAATTAAAAAAAAAAAAAATGCTCAATTATAAAATTTATTTTTTGCTCTATGTTATTTTTGTGGAAAAAAAATGTATTGGACCACAAAAATTAGATTTTTTTATAAACATAATCAATATCTGTTTTGTTAATAACTACAGCGAAAAAATTATTGCAATGTACTGAATCCCTAAGTAACTAATCTTGAAAGTTATAAAATATTGTTCAAATAAAACATGGTTAAAAAAGGCCTTAAATAATTTAAGAAATATACCAGAAAAAAATCTGCGCGGATATTTTAAAGAATATTTATTAAACTGTTGTATTTTAATATTGAATGTTTTAAATATATTATAAGATATGTATTAATATATATATTATTATATATATTTATATATATATTATTATATATATTATAAGATATGTATTAATATATATATTATGTATAAGATATGTATTAATATATACACCATTGGCCATAAATTAGAGCTCACTTTTTTTTTTTTATAAAACATAATTTTAAAATAAAATTAATTGAAAATAAAAATTATTTTTTATTTTTTGTTTTTTAATATTATAAGTAAAATCTATATACATTATGGAAATCCAAAAAGCTAAATATAAACATAACAGTCTTGATACTAAAAAATGGAAAATAATGAAACAGGTTATTTTTTTTCAAAAAAAAAATTGTCCAAAAGTTAAGGATATATTCCAAATAAAATATAAGAACAACAATTTACAAGAGCAAAACCAAAAAAAAAAGCATTCTAATATTTTGTAGAACCTCCTTTCTCATGTAAGCATTGATTTACTCTCTTTGGCATTGAGTTTACAAGATTTTGAGTTATTTCTTTAGGCACATTGTCAAGCAGTTTTCTTATTTCAGTTTTTAATTGTTCAACATTTAAAATTTGAATTTTTCCAAGATGATGATCTAACCAAGACCGTAAATTTTCTATACAATTCAAGTCAGGGCTGTTAGCAGGCCAAGACATTATTGATATTTGGTTTTCTACAAACCATCGTTTGGATATTTTTGCTCTATGGCATGATGCACCATCTTGTTGATATATAATATTCCTGTTTTCTTCTTTAAATATATTAATTGAGGGAAGAAGACAATTATCTAAAATTTCAATATATCTATCAGCATTAAGTCGACCTTCAAATAATCGATAGCATCCAAGTCCTGCATAATTCATGCAAGCCCAAATGCCAATACTGCCACTACCTTGCTTAGTTCATTTTAATGTACAATTTGAATCAAATCTCTCTTGAGGTGATCGCCGGAGCATAACACGGCATTTTCGCATATCTACCTCCACATTCATTTCATCGGAGAATATAACATTTTGCCACTTGCAATCAGGCAAATTTTTATGCTGATTGCACCAGGCAACCCTTGCTTTTTGTTGTTTTTTTGAAAGTCTTGGCTTCATGCATGCAGATCGCCACATATAATTATTTCTATGAAAAATTCTTCTAACAGTTCTTGAACTCACTTTTATTCTAGATGTATTGTTTAATTTATGGCAGAGAGCATTTGACGATAACTTTCTGTCATGTTTCATTAAACGAATTAACAAACGTTCATCTCTTTGTGTTGTTACAGCTGGCCGACCAGATCGGCGTCGGTCCTTAATGTCACCTGTTTCACTAAAACGTTTTAAAATACGTGCAACAATCGAATATGCGATATTTAACTCATTTGCTATCTGGCAATGAGATAGTCCTTGGTTTCGAAGAAAAATTGATTCATAACGTGTTTTTTCAGAGATTCTTGATTGTGATTTTGGAGTTTTATGCTGTATTTCTTCACTCATTTTGTAACTTTTTTATTATTTAATTTATTTGTGTTTTTTTTAGTACTATTTCAAACAAAAACAAAAAAAATTAGAAATAATAAATGCAGATGAAAATAAAATAAAAATTATTAAAGAAAATCATGAATATATTACTTAAAATTTAAATATAAAGCAGTGAGCCTTAACTTTTAACCAACATAAAAAATTAAAATTATTTAGTAGTTGTTATCAAATTATATATAATTAGGCGTACAAAATAAATTTTAAGGAAACAACATGTCAAATAAACAGTAAGCATAATACTTATTAATTAGTACTAATAAATTTTTGAAAAAATATAATAGTTTTTAAAATAATTTAAATCAAACAGGATTATAAAATAAAAACAAAAGCGAGCTCTCATTTATGGCCAATGGTGTATATTGTTAAATTTCACTAAAGTAAGTTTGGGAATTTGTGTACGTGAGAACTTACGCAAGTTGCGTTTTACATTCGACATCAACTTTTTAACGGTCTTTGAGGAATTTTTTTCTTTTTATAAAATTTAACGGCACAATTTCTTTTTACTCTTTGTATAGTGGAAGTCTTTGTCTCTAATTTATTTCTTAAAGTTGAAACAGAAATCTCCGGATCTGTCTGAGGCAACTTTCACACTTTTAACAATATCTTATCAAACAAAAACCTTATTTCTTCCGCTTCCTGATTACTGTTTAATATTAGCAGAGTCATTGTTTCATAAAGCTCTGCACAGTTCTGAAAGCAATCTGCAACTTTTTAAAATAATTCACAGTATCTGTAAACACCACATCAGAACATGCGCAGATTTTTACTGGCACATCTCTTATTTAAAAAAACTTATTTAAAATAAATATAATGCGCACTTGTGCAAGCTTTATCTGCAACAGTACCACAGATCCATGACTTGACCAATTCCTTTTCATATTATATTCTCATTCTCACAGCATACAAGTTATTTTTTTATATGAATCCGCTTTAAGTATTTAAATGATCTTTAACATCGTTATCACTTTTTCGAAACTGATATCACTAATGAAAGCCTCATTATTAAATGTTTATAAAACTTTTTTGAGTTTCTTTGATGTTTTTTTTTTCATAAAATTTTTCATGAAATATTTTGTATTTTTTAACATTCGCTAAACTTTGATAAGCTGATCATTAAAAGTTAATCATTTTAAAGAGCAGTTTTAGTATTAGTTAGAATGGAAGAATATTTTAGAAGTAACCTTTGCACTTTTATAAACAAGCTTTTTCAGAAGAGCGTATACTCTCTACTTTCTCCTCTGAAGTGCTTTGCGAGTTAACAAAATGTAAGCACTTTTGTTGATTTACAAAATTAACAAAAATGCTTCCATTTTTGTTAATTTTAATTCTAGGTTGATATTGAGGGTCTCTGGGTCTGTTTGTAAAACAGACCCAGAGGCCCTGTTGGCCAAAACAGATTAGTCAGGTAACGAAAAGTCACAAATGATGTCAACTTACATTGGTTCTATTTACCAATCTTGACATAGATTGTGACCTAGATGTGATACTAACCAATTATCGATTTCACAACTATAATGACGTTTGAAAGGTATTTGCAGGTATTACAGGAGCTAGTTATTGAAGTTTTTGTAATGTATGGGTTGAAACTGTTGTAGCAGTTACAATAATAAATTCATGTTGTTAATTATAACACTTGTTTCATGATTATCAACTTGTATCAACAGTCCATGTTTTGCTTTGATGGTCGAACATTTTTTATAAAACGAATAAAACACTCCTTGAAGGTTGATTCTAGCATCAAAATAACGATTTGTCGGCAGTGCTAACAAAATCACTGGTTGAATTTAAGTAGTACTATTTTTTAATGAAAAGTATAAGATCCTCATAAAACTTGGTCAATATACTATTTTCTATTCGTTCCACTATTCGTTAATATTCAGTTCAAGAACCTAATTTTAGTTTCTTTTTTTAGCGGTTACTAAACAAACAATTTCCTTTGAACATTATTTGCGGTCTGTATGATTTTATATGTTTGGAACTAAAGTGGCTATGTGATTTTAAATACTATGAAAATAACATTTGAGTGAAAATATATATCATAATATATCAAAGCGATTGACTAGGAGTGCAAGATATTATTTCTCACCACTAGAAGAGCAATGTATATCATATTTGATTCAAATACTAATACATATAGTTTTTATGTAAAATAATGACTTTTTATTAATTAAAGATACATTTTTATTTATAGTAAACTGATAAATGTTGATTAGACCCACAATAACCCTTAGAACCACATTTTGTCACATAAAGTAATGTGTCTTCATAACCAAAATCAAGAGTTAGACCGTTATTAGTTGCCCCTCGTCATATTTAAGTGCAAGATAAATGAGATGTTGGACAGGCGGAATGAATTAAATAAACTCACAAAGATCACTTAGCTTTTATTTAATGAGAGGTTTCTATGATTCAAGTTTTCAGCATTGATGGTGCCAGATGACCGTGCACAACCTTTTATTGTTAGGTCCAGCAACATTTATGCGTCCCTTTCTAAATATAAATATAGAATGAGCGTGGTGATCTTTTTTTCCATTTTAGCTATGTAATTTTTTTATCATTGGATAATATTTTTTCTATTTTTTATCCCACTCTCCAATGATTTTGTATTGAGAATTTTCTATGAAAAAAGAAATACTGAGCTAGAGGTGAAAACTAATTTAATGAGTGGCGAGTTGCCTTAACGAAACTCATGACAGGAGAAATTTAAAATGATAAAAGGGTTGACCCAACCTTTAAATGTAAAACTTACTTTAATTATTTGGAAATAATAAAAAAAAAATGGACAGTTTTATGACTTAGTGGCCCAATAAACTATTTTATTTGTCTTAATCCGTGAAAAAGATTTTTAGATAATGAAGATTCAATATTAAGTTGAAAACCACAGTAATCATTTGACAGATAAGAAACAAATAAAAATTTGAAAATTGCAGTAACGATTAAACATCAAAAAACCAGCATTGCTGCTTTATTGTTTACACAACTAAATTATTTCTTATTTTGCTGTTATATTGTTTACACAATTAAATTATTTTTTATTACAA